TTCCTTTGTCCTTTGCTGGAGAGCTTTGTATTTGTAAATCTTCAGCGGTTTTAGTTGTCGTTAAATCTTGAGTCTGCTTCTTATATTCTTGATTTTCCCTCTTTTGTTTTCTCCATTTCGCCCTTCGGTTCTTGAACCACACCTGAAGGAAAAAAAAAAGGTCATAACTTGATAATGAAATTTTGTCATTCTAAACTGGTGAGCGGTTTCTTTTCCTACGATAACCATCGCTAGCTGATGCAGACCATCCTGTTTACCTTCATTTCGTATAAATCTCTATTTTTTAGTTCAGATTTAGCTTCTTGTGTTGTTAACTCTGGTAAAACCATAGCAATATACACCCCTACTAATGTTGGAGGACCTGTAAGCGGATTAGCTACACCGTAAACCAAGCAGTTATGTACTTACATTTGAAATTTTAGGGTCATTGGTACGAGAAAAGGCTAACAGTATTGATGCTGGCTTTTAAGACCCCTCTGATCGCCGAATCAAAATGATTATACAAAAGATAAAAAAGCATCAGCTATAAACCATCTCATGGAATATTTCTGATCCACTTGAACGGCGAGAATTCTTTGCGCATATTCGACAATATGCAATTTTGAGCAAAACTTTGGGAAGCAAATTTTCTGAAACCAGAATACTCAAATACTGTCTACGTCTTTTCTTTTGAATATTTTATACATGTTTCTGGGAAAAGTATAACGTCAGTTCTGGCAGTTTAAAATTTACCATTGCCATAAACAAACTACGCAGGAATGATAAAAATGAAATAAAATATAATTATAGTTTAAAAGTACTGACTAGTTTTTGGTACTCTTGCAGGTTGTTATTATCAAGCAAATGCTCTCTTCATGACATTTCCTGTAAGAGGAAAGCCTTTTGATGTTAGGAAATAAATAACTGGAGTATGATATATATATTTTTAAAATTTCTAATAATAGANTTTGTGTGCATGTATGCCACACGAATTTTCCCTGTCGTTTCCTTTGTCCTTTGCTGGAGAGCTTTGTATTCGTAAATCTTCAGTGGTTTTCGTTGTCGTTAAATCTTGAGTCTTCTTCTTAGATTCTTGATTTTCCCTCTTTTGTTTTCTCCATTTCGCCCTTCGGTTCTTGAACCACACCTAAAGGAAAAAAAATGGGTCATAACTTGATAATGAAACTTTGTCATTCTAAACTGGTGAGCGATTTCTTTTCCTATGATGACCATCGCTGGTCGGTGCAGATCGTCCTGTTTACCTTCAGTTCGTATAAATCTCTGGGCATAAATATAGCCGGGTTTTCCTCTCAATTTTTTTTTTTTTTGGAATTTGTAAACACAAAATTACAAACATAATAGCTTGAAATTTTAATTTTAAGTTCAGATTTAGCTTTTTGTGTTGTAAACTCTAGCAAAGCCTTAGTAATATAAACCTCTGCTAATGTTGGAAGACCTTTAAGCGGATTAAATGCACCGCAAACCAAGCAGTTATGTACTTACATTTGAAATTTTGGGGTCACTGGTACGAGAAAAGACTACAGAGAGCGGATAATATTGATGCTGGGTTTTAAGACCCCTCTAATCACCGAATCAAAATGATTATGCAAAAGATAAAAAAGTATCAGTTATAAACCATCTCATGGAATATTTTCTGATCCACTTGAGCGGTGAAAATTCTTTGCACATATTCGACAATGTGCAATTTTGAGCAAAAAAATTTGGGAAGCAAGTTTTCTGAAACTTCAGTATTCAAATATTTTCTGTCTCTCCTTTGGAATATTTTACACATATTTCTAGGCCAAGCATGACGTTTTCTGAAAGTTACCATTGCCATAAATTGATGCAATAATAATAAAAAACATAAATTAAATTATAAAAAGTTCTCACTAGCTGTTGGCACTCTTGCAGCTTGTTATATATTATCAAACAAATGCTCTATTCATGACACTTCTTACAAGAGGGCGAAAAACGTTTTGATGTTGGGAAATAAATAACTGGACTATGATAATTTTTCTAGAAATGTTTCTTCGTTATATAGACATTTGGCTTGTAACCGAGTTGGTAACAAATGCATCTACAAGGAAAACAAAAAATTCAGTAACTTTCCTTTGAAATGTACGAGTCCAGAGAAATTGTGGAAGCTCTATGTTTATTTATTACAAGCTGTCGAGACAGTTTTCTATAATTTTTGATTATCTTTTTTGTTTCGTTTTTCTGTGCGTCGAATTATGTTTGTCATGCTGAAGTTTCAGTAGTGCAAGTCAGTCAGTCAGACTCATCTCGGTTGCAAAGTCAGGAATTTGACCACTTACTGTAATCCATTTTCTGAGTAATACTTGAGTGTTAACATCGTTATTTCCCAAAGACCTTATAGAATATCATGTGGAATAGATGAAAGAAATGAAAATTAACTCATGTATCTAAATTTTGAAATAGTCTCCTGCTTGTTCCGTAAGGCAACTGCTGCTAAAATTATGACAACAAATGTGTCTTCTGATGCACAGCCCGATCGAATGAGCATCTGTTTGAACGCAGAATTCNTTTCATCGAGACTGCAAAATCGTTTCAGAGGATTTTAACTCAAGCGAAACGAAACATTTGCGTTTGTTGTTAAGGCCTTTCCCGCTTTTTCGTGCTGACTTGGGCTCTCCTCTCACGTGATACGAAAAAAAAAATGTAAACAAAATTCTTTTCCTCTGTTGGGTAAAGTATGTAAACAAGAGATTGTTTTTATACTTAACCTTTAAGGCTTAATTTGTTGGCAAGAATTTGCAGGGCTTTGCACTCTTCTTGGGAAAGCGCCAAATGAGTTTGCCCTGTATTACCTGTCTTTATAATTCCCCTAATTAGCTGCTTAAAACGACGAAATAAAGTTTAACCTGACCATAGATGGCCGGTGATTCAAAGAGATATTTATATATCTAGACACAGAGGTCGTGTAATTGTCGGCAAATCAATGTAGCAAATAGATTCGCATTAATGAGGATTCGCTGTGTTGATCACTGATAATTTAGGACGTGAGCAAAAGGCCATGGTTTTGAGAGTAAAACTTCTGAGAATGTTTTCTTTGCATTTGATCTGTACCACGTAACTTGTGATTACATACACGATTTCAAATCATTAATCTTGACTTGTCAAAGATTATGTTAATGGCCATGAATTAGTTACCGGAGGACTTGTAGATTTTCACACCAAGAGGAAAACTATTTTATTAAAGAATCCGATAATCTTTTCGCAGCAGTCAGATAATCCTTCTCAGCAGTTTATTTAAAGTGAATCATCTGTGGAGTGATTGCCCTTCTGTGCCACAAGGGTCGTAAGTTCGATTCTATAAGCCTCGTGATGCTTCATTTCTGGGAGAGGGGCGCTATAAAGATGGTAACTTAAGCTTATAATCTTACTTGCTTCAATCAGGAAGAGACAGAGACGTAATGAAGGTTCAGAGAAGGAAGAACACGATAAAATCGTGTGAAAGCTTGAAACTATCAGCAAGAGCCTGAGCAATGAATAATCATTATATTTCAATACTTTAGGATAATCTTTGATAGACACATTCCAGGACAAAAAAAAAGCTAAAAGAAAATAGAGCAGAGAATGGAGTTAATTTTAGTATATTGACCTTTTTAGTGCCAAGGACAAGTATTGTTTAAGTTTCAGTCTGGTTAAGTCTGTTCTAATAACTGAGGAATTGTATCATCAGTCAGAGGCAATATTCGGCTGAATTTAAACTGATTACTTTTCTCGGTTACTCGTTGTAGGCACCCCTCGGTATCTGCTCTGATACGCCGGCAATTTATGGGCGCCTCTTGACAGTGGAGCCCCTTAGTGTTTTACCCATATATACTCTAGTCGAACTCTGAGTTATAAAACAAAAACCACTTTCATGGATGTCCGACTTTCTTTCCCTAGGATGGTTTATCAATTAGCAATTAGGAACAAGAAACTGCAAAAATAAGACTGATGGTAGCCGAAATGTCTAAATTGATGATTTATAATTTCTTTAATGTTCTGAAATTGGTCGTTAGTTGAGCTTTCATCAGCTCCTATGGCGTCTTATCCCAGCTTCATGGTGTTTAAACTACGCCTGTTAGAGTTATTTTTAGCTCGTGTGTTTGAGGATGAGGTAAACAATAGTGCAATATATGTAGATTTTGAAACTCCTTCGGCATGGTGTCTCAACGACTGCATGAGTGTGCTTTTCTTAGCGAAAGGTAGAAAAGAGATCTTGCAATACAAAGGTAAAGATTGTTTCAGGCGAGTGGTCCCTAGAGCCGGAGCTTATCTCAGTTTCTGTAGCATGAAGCGACTTGGAGTATTTCTACTCCCACCACCCACCCCCCCCGGATGGGATGCTAGTCCATTGCAGAACACCAGCTATAGCAGATTAAGTTTTGAGCAGTTGAGGTAAAACGAGTATGGCATGTATCATAAATAACCGAGGAGACACTTCAGCGATGGCACGGAGGTCCGTAACCAGACGAAACTTCTCCCCGAGGCAATATAAGAAGATGTAAACCTGATTGTGGCCTATCAGCACCTGGCAAAAATATGTCGAGGATTTGCAATAAAACATGACCAGCTGACTGTCTACTAATGGTAATTTTTTTTTCGAGCCATAATTAACTTAATAGGGTCTGCTTCAAATTGAGCTTAATTTAATTTTATTTGGAACTCAAAGTCGCCACTAAAATGCTAAAATCCCTAAAGAAAGGCCATTAAATTCAACAAGTACAATTCGACAAATCTAGTAGATCGTCAGGTTTTAGCAGAGCAATGCCTTTTTCCCCTCCATGGGAAGGCAAGTCCCTCGCTGGTAAACAGATTACCTTTAGCATATAAGTCAGGTTGTCCAAACAATTTTCTCAAGCTACACTACTGAAGCTATTTATGCTAATTTATATACATCTAGAGGGAGAGACGTGGTGCGGGAGTCAGGTGTCATTAAAATTTGATTGGTTAGTCCCCACTAAGGGCACTGATCAGGGGATCCCGAAGCATTTCAGCATTCAAACTGCACAGTCGGTCAACGCCACTAACATTATTATTATTTTACAGTCCCGTCCTTGAGTCTTTTGATAACGACACTACAGTTCCAGGTGTTTTCACTCTTTATTGAATGATCATGACTTTAGATATGCTTGCTTTCCACGGATAAAGATGGGCTGTAAAATTCAAGACGTTTAAGAATGAACTACAACAGTACTTCGAGGAAATATGTTAATTGAACAAAATGCGTTCGTTGGGAAAGATGTTAAAAAGTGCTTACTTTCGTTAAAAAGTGTTTCCTTTTCTTTAACGATAGAAAAGTTAACAGGCAAAGCGATCTAAACTAAAATGTATTGCATTCAGCAGCAAAAGCAGAATAGTTTCAAATCCGCCGTTATTATTATTATTTTTTTGTACACGATTTTACACCTAAGATATATAATAAAACGATGATTCCCTATTCAGTAATCTCATTCACACCGATTTGAAATTCCGAAATAAATAAATCTGCATTCCTATTCGCAAATAATATACAGTCAGACTTGAAATACGGTATTTATCTACATATATACAAGGAAATCTAAACTTCGCTGCCCACTGTAGGAGAACGCAATGTCACTGGCCGCCCTTTCGTGTTATTTAGTCTTGATGTCTCAGTGAAAGCCTCTTGGACTTTCGAAAGCTCCACGATTTTGTGTGCATGTATGCCACACGAATTTTCTCTGTCGTTTCCTTTGTCCTTTGCTGGAGAGCTTTGTATTTGTAAATCTTCAGCGGTTTTAGTTGTCGTTAAATCTTGAGTCTGCTTCTTATATTCTTGATTTTCCCTCTTTTGTTTTCTCCATTTCGCCCTTCGGTTCTTGAACCACACCTGAAGGAAAAAAAAAAGGTCATAACTTGATAATGAAATTTTGTCATTCTAAACTGGTGAGCGGTTTCTTTTCCTACGATAACCATCGCTAGCTGATGCAGACCATCCTGTTTACCTTCATTTCGTATAAATCTCTATTTTTTAGTTCAGATTTAGCTTCTTGTGTTGTTAACTCTGGTAAAACCATAGCAATATACACCCCTACTAATGTTGGAGGACCTGTAAGCGGATTAGCTACACCGTAAACCAAGCAGTTATGTACTTACATTTGAAATTTTAGGGTCATTGGTACGAGAAAAGGCTAACAGTATTGATGCTGGCTTTTAAGACCCCTCTGATCGCCGAATCAAAATGATTATACAAAAGATAAAAAAGCATCAGCTATAAACCATCTCATGGAATATTTCTGATCCACTTGAACGGCGAGAATTCTTTGCGCATATTCGACAATATGCAATTTTGAGCAAAACTTTGGGAAGCAAATTTTCTGAAACCAGAATACTCAAATACTGTCTACGTCTTTTCTTTTGAATATTTTATACATGTTTCTGGGAAAAGTATAACGTCAGTTCTGGCAGTTTAAAATTTACCATTGCCATAAACAAACTACGCAGGAATGATAAAAATGAAATAAAATATAATTATAGTTTAAAAGTACTGACTAGTTTTTGGTACTCTTGCAGGTTGTTATTATCAAGCAAATGCTCTCTTCATGACATTTCCTGTAAGAGGAAAGCCTTTTGATGTTAGGAAATAAATAACTGGAGTATGATATATATATTTTTAAAATTTCTAATAATAGATGAACAGCTAAATAGTCCTTCCTTTATTAAGCATTTGAATTGAACGAGTTGGTAACGAATGCATCTCAGGAAGAAAACTTTTCTTTGAAATCTACGATTCCAGAGAAATTGTGGGAGCTATTTGTTTATTGCAAGCTATTGAAACCGTTTTCCATTTTTTTAGTTTTTAGTTTTGTTTTTGCTTCCCTGCACATCGAATTACGTTTTTCATGGTGAAGTGTTAGTTTTGCAGTCTAAGTTAGTCCCTCGAAATCATCTCAGTTACACAGTCACGAATTTGACCACTTGCTGATGACTTACGTAATCCATTCTCTGAATAATACTGATATCATGTCGAATAGATAAAAGAAAGCAAAATTAACTCCTGTATCTAAATTTTGAAATAGTCTCCTGCTTTTTCCGTAAGACAACTGCAGCTAAAATTATGACACCAAAGGCGTCCTCTGATGCAGACTCCGATCAAATAAGCATCTGTTTGAACGCAGAATTCCACAAATATCACCAACCTGAACGAAAGTTGAACACAAAATGATATAATTAATTGCCTTTATAAGCGAGCTCAGAACGACTGGAAACAATTATTAAAAAACTTTGGAGAACGAGAAAGTCTAACTGTAAATGCCAGTTGAAAAGGTAGTTAGCATGTAACTTAGATATCTATAACTGCAACATAGCAAACATCCGTGAAACAATTTAAAGATCTGGGGTCCTTTCCGGAGAGAACCGAAAATTAAATAATTTAAACGAAAACGTATAGAGCAAGGTCTGTTCGTATTTTATTAACATTAGAAGAAACTGCAACAAACACGTTTCAGTGGTTCCTTAATGTAGCGGACACAAACTTTAAGCCTGACAAAGTTGAACACAACACAAACATTCCTCAGATAAATTGAAAATATGCGGAGTGCACATCAATAACTATTAAAGAAACCGAGTTAACAGACCCTATAAATACTTCGTGAACTTCTCTCATATTGTTACGAAAATTGTCGAAACAAAAAAAACCCTGCGGTTTTAATACATATGGTTAGAATCTCAGAGCATTGGTAGTTGAACACAACACAAACATTCCTCAGATAAATTGCAAATCTGCGGAGTGCACATCACTAACTATTAAAGAAACCGAGTTAACATACCCTATGAATGCTTCGTGAACTTCTTTCATACTGTTATGAAAATTGTCGAAACAAAAAAAAAACCCTGCGGTTTTAATACATATGGTTAGAATCTCAGAGCATTGGTACAAACTAGAAAAAATCATTATCACCCTTGCTACCACCGCACGTTTTGGATTAAGCATTTCACGTCGCGTTCTCTATTCTGTCAAATCTCGCGTGAACGTTTATATATAACCCCTAAATGAATACATTGAAACACTGAAGCGTTTAAACCCCAGCATCTAAGTTTTAAAATGAGTATATCTTTCCTTCTTAGTTGAATTTGAAACCACAATTTATTTTATATCCCGGAGAACCGAGCGTTCAGTTGTCTTCATGTCGCGCCGTGTTTGTGGGTGGATAATTAATGTGGTGTGAACTGTACTGATTCTTTCACTGATAGACAACAGGGAGCTGGTAAAATCGGCTTGTATAATTTCCAATTTAAAAATCTCTTAAGGAATCCAAATGAACGAGAACACAAACCAAATCCGATCTAGACCATTTAGTACATCGGCAAGTTTGATAATGAACCTAACAATCGATTCCTTCACTAACGATGCGAACTGAAGAGAGCCACAAATCTTGAAGAATCTAGTTTTTTGTATCTGTTTCCGAAACAGCATACTGCAGGAATTTCTTGCCAAAGAATTTAAATGGAAGTGCGTGAAAACTATAACAACTCATGGTCGAGAAGTAAACAGCGGAGTGACTCGATGGTTAGTACATCGATCGCCCCATTCTAGAATGGCAAACCAACTGAACCTAACAAGTGATAGTTAATTACTAAGAATGCAGACGTTTACATGGCTAAAGCTTTTCTGCTGCTGTTAACAAATGCTTATAGACTCTTTAAAATAGTTGTTAACTCTGGATAAATTTAATAACAATGTATGCCAACCAATCTACAAATATGGATGTCTCTATGATTCCCCTGCAAACATTCGGAAGAAGAAATCTTGACCCTTAGTGATGGAAGTTTACCTCCAGATCAAAGCTTTATTCACCGTTTCCCAGTGCTGTACATTTTTTGAAGGAAAGGAAGTCACAAGACGTAGCTTTATACGTGTCTGCTTATATACAACGCTGTAATGTCAAACATCGAGGAACGAGATATTTACGCAAACACTCGATCGCCTGCAAGAGGTGGCTGAGGTCCGTAGGTAGTGTCGTAGTGAATGCAGGTTATGGTGAGGAATTCAGCATTGTTTACTGGGTTATTCTCAAAGCTTTTCTGATTCGCAAAGCCGAAAAACAACATACTAGACTATGTCCTTCCTAACGACAGACGTTTTTCCACGCTTCTAGGACGAATGATAAAGTTTTAGATAAAAAGAGAAGTGAGAGGTGTCGAGAGAGCTGTGGCTAATGTTTTGCTTCGAAGGCCGGAAAACTACTCAAATGAAGAGTCTGCTGTTCTCCTTAGGAACGTTTGCTAAAACTGTTTTTACTTTCAAAAAAATGTTGATCACGATAGCAAACTTTGACAAAAAGACCTAAAATTCTAGCTTCTTGAAACAATATTACTGGAAGATGGAAATTCATGGCAAGTGACTGGAAGACTGAACACTGCATTCCCGTTTGAATTCGTCAATTTACAAGTTTGCCTCCATTTTAAACGCAGTTACGAGCTGTTGGTCCTTTGATTAAAAAAGTCTCTCTATGTTTACTCTGGTGTTTTTTAACCTAGGTATGACTTTCTTGATTCAATTACACGTTCGATGCCTGGGGTTTATAAAGCGCGAGAATTCACACGTCTTCAAGACTTACGGTCGCCACGAGTGCAAATCTGGTTAACACAACATGCAGACTGTGAAAACGGTGTTAATCTCGAACCTCAGAGGTGTTTTACCAGTGGAACCTTCTTGCTGTTCCTCGAAATAAACTGAATTTTTTAAAATCTCGACAAATAATCACCGAAAGATATATAAAGAAAAGAATCATTCCACATTGATAGAAACCCACAGAGAATGGGTGTAACACGAACACGAACGGATGCAAACGGCGCGCCAAGGTGGCGTCGAAGACTCCGTTCTTTCGAAATCAGTTTGACTTGTCATTGAAAAGTCTTTAAAAGCATGCTTCTAAGACAACAAAAACAAGGACATTTATGAAATCTAAGTTCAACGCTACCAGATTCATAGTTCAGCATGTCAAAGAGTGTCTTGTACCTGTACCTCGGGCGCTACAACTCCAGAGATATTATCACTTGCTGGTGTGCGAGCTGACACGATTACGAAAAGCACTACCTGGTCCTGTTCCTATCCCTTTCTCCCCACAACACCATAACGGACGTTGCAACAGCCTCTTCGCGTTGAAAACACAAGATTGTTCAACGATGGGGTACGATATCTTGGGACGGGCCGCGCGTTGCTTGAACGCATCGGAATGTCCTTGTCACTCAAAATTCTGGACGTGCCAGGGTTCTATAAGGGCATTCTAGTGAAATCATTAATCTTCTGAGTTTTGACAGCAATATGCTATCGTATTTACCCCACAATTATTACGATTACACTGCGGTGCCCTTAGTGAAACCAGCAATAGCATCAAGTAAGCTGAGACGTGTTTGTACAATACAAAAACAAATTTAGATTTTGCTGGTGTGCGGGAATTTTTGTTTGGAAAAAAAGTGTATCTTTAAGGGCGATATGCGCCGTCGATTTTATTATTTGCTCTTTTTAAAGCAAATTGGTAGCAGTTTGTTGCCATTAGTGTAAATCGTTGCGCGAGGTTTACCTGGTCAAGGGCCATTTTTTGGTTTCCTCCGTTAGAAGCGGTGAGAGGCACAAATCGCTTTTACGGCCCGTTTCCGCGAATTTGCCCCCATTGACATGAAACACTTCGATAAACGAGAGGAATCGTTGTCATATAGCGGAAAATACACTCCTTACCATTTCAAAGGGCAGAGTCAAAGATTAAGTGGAAATAATATTCAAAAGCAACACATTCTGTTTGTGCAGGATAAACTAGAGACATCAACTGAAGCACGCACATGTCGGCTTATCTACTTGCATAACAGTTAATAAATCATGATATCTTACCTCGACACGTTCTTCCCTTAAGTCTACCTTCATCGCTAGTTCTTCTCGGAGGAGAACGTCAGGATAGTGTGTTTTCTGAAACGTGCCCTCAAGTAGTTCAAGTTGCTCTTCTGTGAATATCGTCCGATGTCGTCTCTTGCGCTTCGGCTGAGAGCGCAAAAGATCACCAAATCGCGGAAATCCTGAAAAATAAATTCGCACAAACGGTGAAATTAGTGAGGCAAAGTAGGGCGACTCGACCTGTTTATCTTCACTTAGGTTCTCTGTTGGTATCACACACAGCATCTGTTGTGAGACCTCGCTAAGCTTTTGAAACCTTAATCTGCGCGTGTGAGAGTTTGAAAGATAGAGCGAATTAAAGTGTTAGCGAGATTCGGGGAGTAACAAATCGTCAAATAAGTCCTTGATACGATGTAATGGTCTTGCAAACGGCACCACGTGAGTTGGGACTGCCGTTTTCTCTGGCTGTAATCTGCCACAGTACTCAGTCAGCGACTTATGTCGGTCTGCTGTAAGCGCTGCGCAAAGTCAGCCCGGGAATTCTATCTACCTGTTGAGATGAAACACAATGTAAAGAGACAATATTACTGTACCGATATAGCCTGGAGCCAGAGGCATAATTGGGTACGGGTGTGGAATGGTATACGGCATGCATCGTTGATGGGTCGGCCGCGAAAGAATGCTCTCAATTGTAAAGGAGGATCTGAAGGCGGACATAATCCCTTGACCCGAAATTAAATCTAACCAAAAATCCTTAAGCACTGTGTTTTTAAACACTGTTCAACAACCGGCCGGAAGAAGTACGCTCGCTCGGGGTCACCGAATCACACTGACTGACTAATAGACCCAATCTGCGAGCCGCTTTGTATCCAAAAAGGATTTACGAATTACTTACAGTGTTAATTCGTTACGTCATAAGAGGTGTTTGTTTAAATCGAACAGCCTCTCCGCGGCCGGGGACAGCTCGTCGGAAATCCACCAATCACAGGGCAGATTGGTAATTGAAATTTGATTAAAATAACACAGGGAGCCGAGTCAATTAGCTTGAAATTGTGGTCTTTACTGACAGCGTCTTTTTAGTAATTGGCGAAAGGGTAATTCGCAAATCGTGCAGGCATCGGTAGAGTGATTGACAGATCTATCACTTTAAGCCCCGCCCCAACGATTTAGAGGTTAGTGCAGCACGGGTGTGAGTACGCACTAATCCTTTATTTTTTTCCGGCTATGAAACAAGCATCACACTTCACTTATAGCTAAGAATATGTCTACCACAGAACGTAACCCTTAGTTGAACTCTTTTGTTCTAGATAAACATTCTCTTGAAGTATAAGGGCCACGGAGTGACAGCTGAAATGTATACACGGATAATCTTGCGAGAAACGTGTCAGCAAACTCTCATGAAACTATCAGCCAACCTCTAGAGGAGTTGAGTTACATTCCACAAATGGACTCCCATACAAGTTTACGCTGCCTCAACACCTTATGTTTTTTACTTTTCTTCAAACAAACTTTCACACGCTCGCATTTACAACAAACGAATTACAACTGTTTATATATTGAGTTGAGGCTATTTTCTAGCCTAGAGGCTTTTATTTTGGGCGCGAAATTAACGGAGTTCTTGAACACATTATCGAAGTTCGCTGTTTTGACACCTTTGCTTGAGATTTGCTTTCCTTTGGCGGTAAAACTTCAGTCTAATCTGCAAACTGTGTGAGAGAACTGAATTGGCGTGTAATTACTTAATTATCGCTTTAATTACTTTTGTCTTGATTCTGTCTCCGGTACTTTAGTTACTTTAGGAACTGTACGTTCCGAAAATCAACTTTTTCCTAACATCCAAATGTCGTTATTGAAAAATCTATGCAAACTTCAATTAGAGACTTCATGAAACAAAATTACCTTACCATTAAGGCGTATAAGTTTCCTTGTTAATAAATGACGGCTTTTTATTAAAATCTAAAAGTTCTGTTGTACTTCAACGTGGGGGAACTCAAATGCGTTGTGTTAGTTTAATAACGTTGTTTTGTGTTTCTAATTTCTTGACTCTTTAAGGGGGTATGTTTGCTTGGACCTGTTTACCTGGAGTTAATGAACATTGTTTTGGGGCTTTGTTGGCTTACTCTATTTCCTAATCTTTAATTTGTTTTCCGATCCTTTCGATTCTGTGCTGAGACCTGCTAGCCTTTTGTATTTTTCAATTTTTCCACGTTTCGTGTTAACAATTTTTTTCGACTAAATTTTTCGAGCAACAACGTTGTAATCGTTTTATTTCAGTGCAGTTCCAAGCGGCTTACAGCACGCGTTTGCGCCGCCAGACATTCACCTTTGGAGCAGTAATCCGGTAGGGCAGAACAGCTCTAGTTACGGAAATATGACGAAAAACTGGTATGAGATAAATTCGTTCTTTCTTCGGCGTCTTTTCTCAGTTCATTCCCAATTCAAGTTAGTCTTGTCGAGTTGTGACGAGAGTTCTTATTTCCATAATATGAGTCAACGAAGGTGAACTGAACTGTTCACCTGAAAATAGGTTTTCGCTTTTGGTGAGCTTGCCATTCGTAAGAAATTGCTGACTCTTTCTTCACGTGGTTTGCATCGTTTTAAATGGTGTTTTTTTCTGTGAAAATAATAACAAAAGCTCTCGTGGGATGACACTTAAATCAGTAAGGAACCGTATATTGGAAGAGTCGCCAGTTTAGTGAGCGAATCGTGCAAGAACCTGCAGCAAATCAAACCGTCTTTCCGGCGTTAAACGGCATAAAATGTCTGATCTTATCTATCTATAAACTCTCGCCAAGCTAGACTCATGTACCCTTTTTCTTCTTTTTACTTTTTTCAATCTGCTTCCGATATATTTAAACAATGCAGAACACTACATATAACGTTACGATCTATAGAGTCGAACTTGTCACAGCACGATGAAAGACATCCGAGAAAACATGGGTTCCGCTTATTAAATTTTTTTGGTTAACACCTTTCTGTGGTTATCGTGTCACTAAAACACTGTGGTCTTGATCGAAAAGGACTAACAAAAGAAAGATTACATGCGGCTATAATATTTTATTTCTGGGTTAGAACTATTAGAACAAGAGATAAAGCACCTTAGTTTTGTAGTCTGGCAGCCTGCAAGTGAAAAACCACAAAGTATAGCGGAAACTGAAAACTGTAGCACCCCTGTGAGCGGCTTCACACTGTTCTTTTAAGTGGTGTCGTACGAATGTGTGTACATGTAAATGCATGTATACTTAGGTACATTGTAAAAATATATGTACCTATGGTTTACATTGCCTTGACTCAGTCAATTTGACGGAGTTCCAACCTGCAGAATGACAAAATAGGAAGGTTCAAAGGTAAAACTAAAGGAGACAGAACAAAAGATCCTGTGCTGATCAGTCACAAGACAATATAATGTCATATAGCTTATGACACTCCTTGCCATTTCGCGTTGCCGTGTTGAAGATCCAACTACATGATCTCGCCATTAAGGAAGATCCTCGATCGGGTTGTTATTTTTGATGATCCATTCGACTTTAGATCCAAGCCTCTGTTATTTTAGCTTTGTATTCCGCAAACACTGATCTGCTCAATAATAAATCAACGATATCTACATGCGCATCAGACAATGATGGTTCATCAGGCAGTCTTGTTGTTCATCAGTCCTAGACAATGAGAGACTGCAGAGGCATTTTAACTAGTAGCAGTGTTATTTCTTAAAGATATGATCCAAATAGCTTGAGAAAAGTAGAAAANCCAGATCAAAGCTTTATTCACCGTTTCCCAGTGCTGTACATTTTTTGAAGGAAAGGAAGTCACAAGACGTAGCTTTATACGTGTCTGCTTATATACAACGCTGTAATGTCAAACATCGAGGAACGAGATATTTACGCAAACACTCGATCGCCTGCAAGAGGTGGCTGAGGTCCGTAGGTAGTGTCGTAGTGAATGCAGGTTATGGTGAGGAATTCAGCATTGTTTACTGGGTTATTCTCAAAGCTTTTCTGATTCGCAAAGCCGAAAAACAACATACTAGACTATGTCCTTCCTAACGACAGACGTTTTTCCACGCTTCTAGGACGAATGATAAAGTTTTAGATAAAAAGAGAAGTGAGAGGTGTCGAGAGAGCTGTGGCTAATGTTTTGCTTCGAAGGCCGGAAAACTACTCAAATGAAGAGTCTGCTGTTCTCCTTAGGAACGTTTGCTAAAACTGTTTTTACTTTCAAAAAAATGTTGATCACGATAGCAAACTTTGACAAAAAGACCTAAAATTCTAGCTTCTTGAAACAATATTACTGGAAGATGGAAATTCATGGCAAGTGACTGGAAGACTGAACACTGCATTCCCGTTTGAATTCGTCAATTTACAAGTTTGCCTCCATTTTAAACGCAGTTACGAGCTGTTGGTCCTTTGATTAAAAAAGTCTCTCTATGTTTACTCTGGTGTTTTTTAACCTAGGTATGACTTTCTTGATTCAATTACACGTTCGATGCCTGGGGTTTATAAAGCGCGAGAATTCACACGTCTTCAAGACTTACGGTCGCCACGAGTGCAAATCTGGTTAACACAACATGCAGACTGTGAAAACGGTGTTAATCTCGAACCTCAGAGGTGTTTTACCAGTGGAACCTTCTTGCTGTTCCTCGAAATAAACTGAATTTTTTAAAATCTCGACAAATAATCACCGAAAGATATATAAAGAAAAGAATCATTCCACATTGATAGAAACCCACAGAGAATGGGTGTAACACGAACACGAACGGATGCAAACGGCGCGCCAAGGTGGCGTCGAAGACTCCGTTCTTTCGAAATCAGTTTGACTTGTCATTGAAAAGTCTTTAAAAGCATGCTTCTAAGACAACAAAAACAAGGACATTTATGAAATCTAAGTTCAACGCTACCAGATTCATAGTTCAGCATGTCAAAGAGTGTCTTGTACCTGTACCTCGGGCGCTACAACTCCAGAGATATTATCACTTGCTGGTGTGCGAGCTGACACGATTACGAAAAGCACTACCTGGTCCTGTTCCTATCCCTTTCTCCCCACAACACCATAACGGACGTTGCAACAGCCTCTTCGCGTTGAAAACACAAGATTGTTCAACGATGGGGTACGATATCTTGGGACGGGCCGCGCGTTGCTTGAACGCATCGGAATGTCCTTGTCACTCAAAATTCTGGACGTGCCAGGGTTCTATAAGGGCATTCTAGTGAAATCATTAATCTTCTGAGTTTTGACAGCAATATGCTATCGTATTTACCCCACAATTATTACGATTACACTGCGGTGCCCTTAGTGAAACCAGCAATAGCATCAAGTAAGCTGAGACGTGTTTGTACAATACAAAAACAAATTTAGATTTTGCTGGTGTGCGGGAATTTTTGTTTGGAAAAAAAGTGTATCTTTAAGGGCGATATGCGCCGTCGATTTTATTATTTGCTCTTTTTAAAGCAAATTGGTAGCAGTTTGTTGCCATTAGTGTAAATCGTTGCGCGAGGTTTACCTGGTCAAGGGCCATTTTTTGGTTTCCTCCGTTAGAAGCGGTGAGAGGCACAAATCGCTTTTACGGCCCGTTTCCGCGAATTTGCCCCCATTGACATGAAACACTTCGATAAACGAGAGGAATCGTTGTCATATAGCGGAAAATACACTCCTTACCATTTCAAAGGGCAGAGTCAAAGATTAAGTGGAAATAATATTCAAAAGCAACACATTCTGTTTGTGCAGGATAAACTAGAGACATCAACTGAAGCACGCACATGTCGGCTTATCTACTTGCATAACAGTTAATAAATCATGATATCTTACCTCGACACGTTCTTCCCTTAAGTCTACCTTCATCGCTAGTTCTTCTCGGAGGAGAACGTCAGGATAGTGTGTTTTCTGAAACGTGCCCTCAAGTAGTTCAAGTTGCTCTTCTGTGAATATCGTCCGATGTCGTCTCTTGCGCTTCGGCTGAGAGCGCAAAAGATCACCAAATCGCGGAAATCCTGAAAAATAAATTCGCACAAACGGTGAAATTAGTGAGGCAAAGTAGGGCGACTCGACCTGTTTATCTTCACTTAGGTTCTCTGTTGGTATCACACACAGCATCTGTTGTGAGACCTCGCTAAGCTTTTGAAACCTTAATCTGCGCGTGTGAGAGTTTGAAAGATAGAGCGAATTAAAGTGTTAGCGAGATTCGGGGAGTAACAAATCGTCAAATAAGTCCTTGATACGATGTAATGGTCTTGCAAACGGCACCACGTGAGTTGGGACTGCCGTTTTCTCTGGCTGTAATCTGCCACAGTACTCAGTCAGCGACTTATGTCGGTCTGCTGTAAGCGCTGCGCAAAGTCAGCCCGGGAATTCTATCTACCTGTTGAGATGAAACACAATGTAAAGAGACAATATTACTGT